ATTCTAAATGAAATAGAAACCAGTTTTTAGTTTTATATGGATCTTATCTACGAAGATAATGTTCAAAGTGTTGAAATTATAGGCTCTTTACGTAATAAATAAATAATCGTAGTAAAATCGTATGAATATTAACAGTACTATCATATAAACTAGTTATTCCAGTAATTACATCACCAAGTAATGAATAATATTCCACGTGATTCATAGTAATTAGATCTACTTGAAGTTACGAACAACGCTTAGTTTCAAACTCAGACTCAAAATAACTTTATTCATATAGGTAAACAAGTACACTTATGAACGTCAACAGAAAAGATGTTAAATTGATTCCAAATTTACATTTAAGTTTTGAGTCATATAAATTGTTTGAATCGGAATTGGAGTAAATCAATCCCAAGGATAAGAATCAGTTAAATAATCGTCAAATTTACAAAAAGCTTTCTTAATTATAAAAAGCAAACTGTCTTGATAGTTGCGTCCCTTTATTTAAGAAGTTTAAAATTTTATCTCTTCCCTGTATTTTTTTATTGTGTATTTTTATTTTAGAAATATCCTTATTAGGAAAAACACCTTTTGTATGGCAATTAAGGTTAAGTTTACAATAAATTACCAAAAGAATTAAAAGATCTTCCGACTAGTCTTTAAAAAGCGACTTGGTGTATTACTTTTGTTACTTTTGGAAAAAATGTACTATTCAATAAATGATTATTTGCGTGAGACACAGTAGTTGATATAAATTTAATAAAGTATGATATGATATGGACGATACAAATAATATAAGAATTGACCAATTCATTTGACTAATAATGTAAAATGTAAAATTCCTTTAAAGACAAATTTGCGCGCCATTGCGTGTGGCAGAATATGCGAACTTACGATTGTACCAACTTACACATTTTTGTACCATATTCTTGCAATAAATAAATTATTATTATTATTATCATTATTATATAACTCTCGTTAAACATATTTTTTTATTAATTTACGTATAACGAGAGTTTTGATTTATTCAGTGATCATTCTCTAATTTCACTTGAAGTTTGTTGTAGAAACGAATACAATTTCCATATAAGTGGTTTATCTTTTAAAAATATAAGGGATGCAACGGGCCGCCTTATAGCAAGCGATCTCTTCCAGATAACCTTAGTAAGGGAAAAACTAAAAAAATAAATATGACGAGTAAAGTGCAAGAAGTGCATAACAATGATATATTAAAAAAATTTATTTTTTATTCCTCTTAACCACATTGACTGGACTCACTAACAGTTTAATGTATTACAATGTCTGTCATATTATTACAATTGCTTAAATAAATTATAATTGTCTTAAAGATTCACGTGCATTGCATTTTATGTTTCGCGGCTCACGAAATCAAACATTTATATACCAAATTTATAAAAAAAACAAAAACCTTAGTAATAAAAACTACTTATAGCACAAAATAAAAGTCCCGTCAGAACAGAGCATTTAGATATGAGAAACTCGCACTTAAACATACATATACGTAGTACCAACAATATTGAAATTTCACTAGAACTTATTCTAGTGTTGCATTATATTTCAGACGCTGGTCCCTACAATAAGACATTGGAATGTTGTGGGTGATCAGACTCTTCCGGGGCACAATAAAATAACAAACACTTAGTACTTAAAAATATTAAAAAACAAATGAAATGAGAGCGAAAAATTTCCATAGCGTGCGTGATGTTCGTGTATGCGTGATTCTGTACCTCTGTAAATTCTGATAGCAAGTGAGATGCCGTTGACCAATCACAATAATTTAATTAACTATACAAATATACATATTGCACACGAAATGCGTGATCTTTTGTGTTACATCTTCCTTATTCAGAAATACCCTCCTTGACAGGCCCAACCCAGGTATAACTAAGCTACCACTGACGCAACATCCTTTTAGGTGGGCCTTACATTTCTGTATGTGTTTCGTGAGCCGTGTTAAAAAAATATTTGATCACCGAGTTTACTGTATAGTTCAGACAAACTTTATCATAGGAAAAGAATGTCATCAAAATATTACATTATTAAAAAACGCCAAAACAGGACGTTATATATCAAGTTACAATGTTGGCGAACAACATTTAAAAACGTAAAAACCGGGGTCGAAGTTCTAAATCACGCTTACAGATGTGTCAACTTGACTTAATAAATGCGTCTATTGTCTGAATGTGTTAGTTAATCAATGTGCAATTATTTTTTAACCTATGGCTCTAGTTCAATGCATATCACGGAATCTTGGCTTCAAATACCAAGTTAATTCGCCAATGCAATTTCATTGTAGCTATAAGACAGGAAGCGGACCTTGTCCTTCGTCTGCTAGCTAGCATCGGAATATAAGTCGCCATAGTTGTAGAATAGTGACGGATTTGACAAATAGTAAACTTTACAGGGCTGCCATTTAAAAATAATATCATGTTAGTTTTTTTGTCATAACTTTTTTAATTCATATTTTGTTAATATGAAAATTCGCATACAAGCAAACAAAAGGGTTTGTTTTGAAATAGTAATAAAAATAATAACATTAAATTACACAGTTTTCTAGAAAAATCACATGCTTCTATCAAATCCGTCACTTTACACAGTAGTAACTATTTATTTTTTGTTTAAAAATTTAAGTTGTAGTTTGGTTAGTGTTTAATTTCAGTTTTTTTTAATGTTAATTGACTTATGTTTTCTGTTTCGTATATTTTGTTTAACAAGGTAATCTGTTTTGGCTTTGTATATTGTCTAGTATTGTTCTTTTATAATATGTTTAAGTGTAGCTGTAATATTAGTTATAAATAAATTATTTATTTACAAGGAGACTTAGTTTTTTATGCATAAAGCCATATAACAAACACATATACATAATTCTTACCCATATACAATTTATTTATTAAGGAATCATTTTGTATCCTCATTTAAATACTAATCAACGAACTTTTACCTTAACACTCATTAATTCAAAATAGATCAAATACTTGTTGATTCTATAGTTCAAGGTGCCCATTAGAAAAATGATAATATATCAATCTATCTTCTTTTAATGTTATGCGTAAACTGGTTCATGTGAATTATTGGATATTAATCAACGATGCGAATTAGATCATCTTATTACTGAGTACTGGGTAATGATTGAAAGAAATAATAGAAGAATATTATTGATTGACATTCTGGAAGTTTAGCTTGCCACGTACAAGCGATATCCAACTAACTATAGTAAGGGCAAACATTTTTGAAGTTTTTTCTTTAGGCGCATGAAGGTAAAATTTTTACGGATCGTCACGAAGATGTGCAGCTTGTCGAAGAAAAGGGAGAGAGCAATTGAGAACGATTGATAGATAGTGAGAAAGGCGAATTACCTTATAGAAATTATATTTTTAAAATTAAAATTTCGTAAAGAGAACTTATGAAATATTAGTATTTTATGCAATAATTAAATAATTTATTGAAATCTCAAATGACGAATTGTAAATTAAAATGCCACGTGTTATTATTATCGAAGAAATAAATTAAATTTTTTTTTATTATTTGTATTATTTATCGACACTTAATATTTTAATGACAATTAAATTCATTAAAGTCCTTACATATCTTCCTTTTTCCCTCCCTCTTAGTCTCGAAAATCTAAAGTTTTAGATTTGTATAAATATGAATAAGACTTAAAAAATAGTTTGCCAAAGAAGTTTCACTTCTGTCATGTGTACTTTGTACGCACGCACTTGTTTCGTAAAAAGGTAGTTTGAAAATACAAATGAAAATTGATACTATGATAAATCATAGTCTTTTTACAGTAGCAAGTTCATCTTATAATACATTTGTGTTGTAGTTGATTACACGATTTAATCTTCAGCTAATCCGCGTGCAGAATAATCACTTCTTTACTTCTTTTGAGGTACTTTTAGTGCTAAATCACGCTAATTTAAACATTATAACAATATCATATAGTCGTTTAATTATTTAAATCTGCTCACAAATACGTCATGCTGCTAAACAGGGAAATAATTATGTCAAAGTTCAGGGTAAATGCGGGGTTTGGTAAATCTATATGATTAGAATGTCAAACGTTTTTTTAATTAAGAAAATGAAAACTGTCATTAACTATTGGACGCTGTGAAAACAAAAACTGCTCATATGGTGGTGGAGTTACCGATAACTTCTGGATAAAGTATGAAGTAACGGACTAAACGAATAACATTTGTAGCAATTACTGAAATGTAAATATATATAAAATATATATAGATATAAGAAGAACTAAATATAAGAATCCCTAAGTTTATTTTAGTGAATAGGCCTCAGACTGATGTATTATTTTCGTTACAATAATTGTAAGTGTCACAAAACAAGAAAACAGAGATTTCTTCCTGCAATTTGCACCAGATGCATATTAATGATGATGACAATGTAGAAATAGAGGATGACGATAATAGTGAAGGATGTGATGAGTAATTTTTACTTTGTATAAGCATTGTATATTTTAAGAAAATAAAAGCCTTTGTATGAAAATTTTTGTCTGATTTTATTTGAAAACTAACCAATGTCAAACATAAATTTCAATTTTACTGAACTTCGGGAAAACTTTTGGCATTAAAACATAGCACAAACCATTGCATGTCATAGTATTTACAATAAATCAGTAAGTATACTACAAATTATTTTATTATATGTATTGTAAACCTTATTATGTCTCCTGTAAAATTGAGGTAAATAGACATTGGCTGTTTTTCCAAATAACCCCTCAATTGATTATACAAAATACTGACTTCGTAGCAATAAATGTTTGTCAAGTTCATGAAATAAATCACATTAGCGTGTCGATGTTTTGAATTTACGACTTGATTGAGCGACGATTGAGAACATCTGCTAATGAATAGATAATTTTAATATACTTATTATGGAGAACTGGACAGGATTCACAAATTATGTTTGACGAAAAATAGGTATATATAGCTATCGAATTTTGGTGATATCAGCATTAGGTTGGAGCTGTTTAGAGAGCAACAATGCGTAGTTTTGTGGTATGTGACAATATTAATTATTTTTTGATACATTAACTGGCAATAGTTTTAACATGGTTTTTGTTTAATATTTTGGTCTGGTATGGGAATGTACATCCAGAGGTCAGATAATTTTGTCTGTCTGACTCTAGATGAGGTGTTTTAGAAATATTGTTTGCAAGACTTGACCGTCTATGACTAACAGATTTTTTTTCTTTGTACTGCACTTGTACAAATAATATTTTTTGTATTTTTTTTTCAGATTCTTTCCCTGGCGTTGGCAGTTGCCTTCGCAGCTGAGGAGCAAGTGTAAGTTACCTTTAAATAATTAAATAGTGATCACACTGTATATCCATGCTATTTAGTTTCGCGGTAGAATTCATTTATACGTGGATTGAGTTTCCTGGTGGATTAATCAAAGTTTTTAATTATATTCATGAATTTGACTCTACAGATTAAATAATGTTATAGTTGACATTTTCCGTATACCACTGACTGATTAGTCAAGAGTGGCATTGTCTATTATTTGTTATGAAAAGTATAAGATATAAACCAGCTGCTGCAGTATTTCCGAACCAATTCGACTTAGGGTCCTTCAAGAAAAGAGCGTACCAATTCTTAAAAGGCCGGCAACGCACTCGCGAGCCCTTTGGCATTGAGAATGTACATGGGCGGTGGTATCACTTAACATCAGGTGAGCCTCCTGCCCGTTTGCCCCCCGTTCTATAAAAAAAAAACTTTTCTAATAGTTAACATGAAATAAAAGGAGTTTTCGGTTGTTATATATAATACAAGTTTAAAACAAAAGACGATTCTACGTTTGCAACGGAAATCGTGTGATTGGTATTTGCCATCATTTTGTACTATGTTATGAAACCTATAAAACAATTATAAATTTCAGGAGCACAACTGTACGGCCACTCAGTCGTGCCACAGCTTCCGCATCCGTGACCACATTGAACCCATACAACAGATTCTACTCTAACCGCTACAACCCTACACCATTAGTTGGTCGCTACGAACCGGGTCGTTACAACGCTGGCAGCTACAATGCCGGTAGCTACAACTCTGGCAAATACAACGACAACTCTGGACGTTATGTGCCTGACAACTCTGGAAACTACAAGTGAGTGTTGGTTCTGTTCTATTCTTGGTTAGTCTAATCTTGGTTTATATTCCGTGTTAAAATAAAGGGTGCGTGTACTTATGTACGCGCGTAAGAAGTTATACTTCTTTGGCATTATTAAAAATAGTTTTTGATTGCATGCAAATAATTAATTACAATTAAATAATCAAAGACTGGAAAAGGAGTCATTATAGTCAATAAAGTTCAGTTTACATTTGAAAAATGAAATAAATAAATATTTATTATTATTCTCTTACATTAAGTGTAACATAAATTTTATTATTATTCGAATGTTGTTTTTAAATTATGTCCAATGCCGTAGCATCTTCCATGGGCAACTTCATTCTGTTAATTTTGTGTCACGGTGCGCGCGCATCGTAAAATTTCACTCTCATCAATTTTTCATAACGCGCCTAAAGAAGTATAACTTCAAAAAATTCAGTGGCTGTACAACCCTAGGTCTTACCCTCAAATTTCATTATCATCTCAGGGTGATCTTCGAATCCTGCTTACAATTAATATTTCAAAAACATCTTATGTAATATTCAGGGCAACAAATAAACTCATTCCTATCTTTCAACCGCTAAAAGTTCAAGACGTTAAAATCACAAACAAAAATTGGGAGAAAGATTTTTTAACACAGACTAATAAAATCTACCAAGAAACCGAAATTATGACGATTAAACAACTATATGTTTATAGCACCTGATTCTTAATTAAAAAACAATTTAAATAACTCTCTCCATAGTAGTTTATCATTAAAAAAAATCAAACACACCACTATCTTTCCAAAGCCGCGTACAAATTATTTGAAGAAGTCTTTATGAATGAGATAAATAAAAATATTTTTTTTGTGATGAAAGTTCCTTAAACATTATCCTGACACACGCAGTCGATTATTAGATTCAAGGCATGCCGATTTCTGTATTAATCGTTGTAATATAATTACGCCAGACTGACTCAAATACTCATTCAGAAATAAAACATACTGATGACATGCATGTTGTGTCAACAATGTTCGTGTTTCACACATTTCGCTACTTGCCTATAAAAGTGTTCTTAAAATGTGCCTTCAAGAAATATCTATACATATTATCACATTTATATGTTGTTATGTATTGTATTATGTTTCAGTGGCGACCGTGGTGACCGCGGAAACGCTGGCGGATTTTACGTCCCAGACTCAAACAACAACAAACCATTGAACTTTGAACAAGTAAAGAAACCTAAGTAAGTCATCATTATATACAATTTTATTTGTAAAAACTTAATTGTGTGTGCCAAACTCGATTATCGTCGCTGTAGAATGTATGTATGTCCAGGGAACCAAACATTACAGAAAACAAAAACAATGTTTCATTTTGTCAATGTTAGTTAAATTATTATTATGTGTATTTGTCCATAGATTTAGATGGTTAAAAGGACTTATTTATTAATAACATAAATAAGTCCTTACTTCATAATTATACCAGTTAAATGACATAAGAGTCTAAGAATAAAATATTAATGTTTTTTTGACATACGAGGTTACCATTCTACAGTGACGTTATGACGTAGTTTAAATTAAGAACACTGGGGTAGTGCGAATGGCAACTAGGCATCATATTAAGCGTACCTCTCTATTGAAGGTGATTTCAACCGCCATTCACCTGATAGCCATTTATTACTTTATAAAAAGCAACAAATATTTCCAAAAAACCTCTAACAAAACATCGTTTGAATTTCAGTGTCGTAATTATCAGCACCAACGAAGCTCTCCCTACACCAGCCAGCCCCGTCATAACAGCCGTCCCAGTCACAGCTGTTCCAGTCACAACAGCCGTCCCAGTCACAACAGCTGTGCCCGTCACAGCCGTCCCAGTCACCACCCCAGTCCCCGTCACCGAAGTCCCCGCTACGGCCGCCCCAGCCGCCCCAGCCAACCTCGGTACCTACTACATTTCCTTGAACGACAAACCCCAGTACGTCTCACCCACACGTGTGGTTCCAGTAGCCCCAGTCGTTCCCAAGGTTGTTGTCCCCAACACCTACGAATACAACTACGGTATCGTCCGCCAAGAAGCTGATGTCCTCCCCGACGGTTACCACTACCTGTACGAGACAGAGAACAAAATCCTCGCTGAAGAGGCTGGACGCATTGAGAAGACCAACGACTTCGAGGGTATGAAGACAAAGGGATTCTTCCAATACCTCGGCCCAGACGGTGTCACCTACAGAGTCGACTACACAGCTGATGAAAACGGATTCGTACCCGTTGGCGCTCATTTGCCTCAGTAATCTAGTCTTAATTAAAATAGTAACTGTTGTACCTATTAGCCTAAAAACGGCCATAATGTGATATAAGTAATAAAAAAATAAAAAATACGATTTGTATTACTTAAAACCTATAGAAAGATGTTTGTTTGTCTAAAACATTAACATAACTACAGTAACAACAGCTACTTCTGTTGTTAGTAATTTGAATCACTTACAACAGTATCATAAAAGAAGTATTTTATATAAAAAAACAGTGTTATGCACGTTGCCGTTGATCGTGAACAAGCTTTACTAACTGCCATTACTCTGTCTTGTGAAATTTTTAGTAATAAAGTTAATAGAAAACTCAATATAGCATCATTATATTATGGATTACAAGGAATATATAGTTTACTGGCTGTCTAGGTAAGCGTTGTTTTGCGATATAAAAAATATTGCAATACTATATCTCCATGAAAATATGAAGATTGGTGGTAGAAGAGTCCCGACTAATATATATACAAGTTTTAATAACAAATTAAAAAAAATGGATTGGGCCACTTTCATCACACGTATAAGATTTTATATTTTCTTATTTTTTACACAAAAAAATCTTAAATATCTAGTCACGGAGGAGTTTGCTTATGAGCACTGTGATATATAGGCAGCGGCACGTAAGTCTAGCGCTGGCCGATACGTGGAGGGGATTGCTGCGCATGTGTCGTATCGGTGCGGGGGACGGAATGCGACTGGAGAGCCAATCGACGCTCTTCATTCCGCTAGCCCCCCTCAGGTACCTTATTTTTTTCTTCTTCTTCTGTAACACTGAAAAACGTGGGTAAACTGGCCAGTTAGAAACATTGCTAACGAAAACTTTTTTGAATTTCAATTTTAGAATTCTTTGGTAACCTAATGTAGTATGTTGGATTCATTTGTCATTTGTTTTTGTGAATTGGCGGCAAATATAACTATAAGATAGTCTGCGATTAGCATTTCTTAATGAAGCCCCATCTCGTGCCACTATTTACAATTGGTTTAACGAGTTTAAGCGTGGACGTAGCAATCTCAATAATGATCCGCGTGAGGGACGTCCTTTAACAGCGACTACTGAAGATAACATCAGTGCTGTGCGACGCATGATAGAGGAAGATAAGAGAGTGACCTATCAGCAGATACGGGCAAGCCTAGGCATTGGTATGAGTCAAGTTCAAAAAATATTACAGGAACATTTAGGCGTCAGGAAGCCTTGTACCAGATGGATTCCCCATACTTTAACCGACGACCAGAAACAACTACAACAAACTTTCATTTATTCCCAAGAACTAAAGATAAAATTCGAGGTATTCGCTTTACGAGCCCTGAAGATGCGGTGAAAGGGTACGAAAATGTCATAGAGACCCCTAAGGAAGAATGGGCCCACTGCCTTTCTCAGTGGTTCCATCGAATGCGACGATGTGTAGAGAGGAACGGTGATTACTTTGAAAAAACAATAAAAGTATTGGCAACTTTCTACATTAAGCCGTTTTTCATTTTCTAAACATTTTCAGCGTTACCTAGAGTATATATGTATATATATATTAAAATAGAGACCCTTCCATAAGAGACATCTTTCAACATCGTAAAAATTTATTAATAAACGGTTATAAAAGAATTGATCCGTAAGATGGTGATTTTTATTTCTGTTAATAACGCCTGTATGAATTTCATTGGCAAAATGACAATTCAATTTCATAGGACTTTAAAACGTTTCTTTTTATTAGTATCTGGTAGCTCAGCGTATTTTCTTGTGTATCACACGACAAAACGTTAACTCCGTACGTTAAGATTAACTAGATTTAAGGTAAACGTTTGACTAGGTTACAATGTTTTCCTATTGTTATTGCAGCGTTTAGGTAACTATATCAGAATCGTGTATTAAATAAATCTGAAGAATTATGTTCGTTACCTACAAGAATGCCCGGTTTCAGCACTGATGTTACAATAACTTATTAGATTTTTTTGACAAATTGTAAGTAACATTAAACTGTAATAAAAACATTAAAATTAAATGAAAATGTTATTTTATGTAGCATATGTATTTATTTAATTATTACTAAAACAACATGTATTCTTAAAATATACAAGAAAATACGACATCACAAATTTTACACACATAAAAATTTCACTAGCAAGGAGAAAATTAAACAAGCAACCATAAAATAAAAATTACTAAAACTAAATAGATAATTAAGAGCGTGATACACAATGTTACCCTAAGTAGAAATATTGTTGACCGAAAATTGGCCGGTGGTTCAAGGCTGGGGTCTCGGTATCGAGTGGCCCGGAACCACAGGTCGTGAATGATCTCTATATGTCGGATATAAGCTCGGGTCCCTTGGGTAGAATGCCTGGCGAACCCCGAGGGGCCCATTTTAAGGGCGTGTGAAGGGCTGAGGTGTTTTTAGTGGGCGGGGTCTCGCTACCCCTCTGAATAGCAGAGGGATTTGAGTGTAAACCCAGCCCTACAGTTCCCGCGTCAAGCTCGACATGGCGCAAGCCTGCGTAAGCGCATGTTCACCTTATAAAAAAAAAGATTGTTGTAAAATATATTAATATTTTTATCAATGTGATGCGTATTCGACTTATATAGTGAAAAAAACCTTTATAAATTAGGGGACAGGTGGCGAGAAGTGTTTGTTATTTACATAATATAAAATAGGTAAACAAAAATATTAACTCGCTAATTGGGTCACTTTACATATTTCGATGTAATCTTTTAAAACTGGAAATTAAAACCTTCGGAAATAACGACACTCAATTAAGCATTAAGAAGAACTACTTTAATATTCGACCTGTTTATATTAATTTTAATGTGTCTTAACTATTTTAATACGAATAAATCCATAATAGGAGTGAAGAATATTATTTATTTACTTAGCAATATACAAAGCCAAAACAGATTATATTGTTAAACATAATATACGAAATTGCCATGGCCATGATGATCGCCAACCTTCGCAAGGAGATGGCACTATAAGAAGAAAGAAGAAGAATATACGAAACACAAAACATAAGTCAAATTAGTACATTAATAGATTAAATAAAGACTGGAATTATACATAAAACAAACTACAAAAAAGTCAAAGTCCTCCCGGTTCCTAAAATATTACACCTCTTTAGTAGTAAGTTGGAAAATGACTACATCTTCATAAATTATTGTAAGTTATCTAAAATCCCATACATGGCGAATTACGAAGATAATTCGTGTTCGTACGAGGCACGCTTACATTATACTGACTTATCATTACACATACAAGGAATTGTTCGGATTAATACCTGCAGCTGAGTTTCATCATCGGACGTCGAGGCAGAATACGAAATCCGTCATTCCATAAGTGAGCGTTTTTTAATGCAGTTTTTGCCGCGCATCACCACTATGTAGAACCTGCTGCCCATTGAAGTATTTAAAAGGCCGGCAACGCACTCTCGAGCCTTCTGGCATTGAGAGTGTCCATGGGCTGCGGTATCACTTAACATCAGATGAGCCTCCTGTCCGTTGGACTCCTGTAACATAAAAAAACTGTTTCAGTTTGGTCTGAAAATGTACTTAGAATATATTTTATTTCCAATATAAGCAATAAAGTTTTATGCATCTGTTTTATTTGATGCAGGATAATTTATAGCTGACATCGATGGAACGATGGGAAGAGAAGAATAGATTAAATAAAAAAAACATCATTAAGAAGAATGACTAAGTTAGCATATGTCACATTGAAAATAAGAGGAAGAGAAAAGTCGAGCAACAAAGTATTAAACTGGTGCCCATGCACAATAAACGCAAAAGATATAGACCAGTTCAAGGAAACAGCTGGTACATGACACATGGAACGAGGTATGCCAGATCACACAATATTTGGTCGTACTTAAATTGCCTTTAGATGTTTGCCCGGTGTAGAGCACTAAACGGTGCTCCTTAACTATTCGGATTAGAAGCATCCCGCCGTGGTAGAAACCATAGTGGACGCTTACAACGACGGCCAATAGAACGTATTCAATGTATTATTCGACGCTATCATAAAGGCGAGGAGGGTTCGGGAATGTGTCCCAGATGCTGATCTCCAATGCAAAAGAAGGCCCGGGAGACGGTAACGCTCCTAACGGGGGCACGGATTAAGAGAATCTGTTACATGCCCACCGTTTATGATATACTGATCCGTTTGGTATAAGAGGGTCCCTGACAGTTGCCAACATTAAAAAAAAATAGGGCTAGTTTAAAATACATGCCTTATTACTCTCGGTAATGATGCTGCCGATGAGCTGGCGAGAAGAGGCTCCGGAATGATCTCCGCTGGCCCGTATCCGCTCCTCCCCTAGCCCTTCTCGCTAGGGCGAACCTAGATTCGCCAGAGATCCGCTGAACTCCAACATCAGCGATGGTTGCGAAGTGCGAACTGTAAACAGTCTAAAATGGCTCTACCAGTAGTTAACCCCCAATTGACAAAGCGACTTCTAAGCTTAAATAGAAGCAATCTCAAAATTACGGGCCATTGTCTCCTTAATAAACATCTTTTTGTCCTAGGCGCGACAGACAGCACCATGTGCAGAGGCTGTTTCAGCGCAGAGGAATCAGTCACCCACGTAGTCCTGGAATGCGAGGCTGTGGCAAAACAACGTACAGAAATCCTCGGAGCAGTGAGGTCACTCCGTGAAACCTGTGAAGGGCCCAGGAGACTTCTGTGCTTCTGGAAGGAGCTAGGCAGGCTTAATTAGCCAGGACTTTATGCACAACGGACCAATTATGAGTCTAAGTGCGGAAACTGAGTCCACCAACCTAACCTAACCTACATGCCTTATTAATGAAGCTTTAGCGCCAACTGTTAAGTATCTTAACTTCAATAGTAAAATGTGAGATGGACTACCGATGTATGTGACTCTTATAAAAAAAAATATGTTTATTGTGAAACATAAGATACAGGTATCATTTATTCCACGTCATTAAATTTGAATTTGTAGGCATCCCTACTCATCGGCAAAGAAGACAGAGGGTGTAGGCCGAGATAAAAAGACGGCGTAAAAAACTGTCGGTACTCTTTTAAAATAGCAAATCATCAAACAACACTTAGTTTAAAACAAATATCGCAAATTAATTAGAAGTAGCCTGTCTAGCACTAGTCCCAGGCCCTTTTATCAACTAGATAATCGTTGACTTAACTCAACTAACTTTAATCACAACACTACACATTGATTACACAAAAAAAACACAATCTTAAAAACTGTAACAATTTTAAAATAATTTATTTGGACATTCACATGTACGCCAGCAAATTTCCGAACTTTAAATATTCAATTTAAAATGTAATTTAAAGCAAACTATAAATATTTAAAATGAGATTGAGTCATATTATTATTCATTTCTAGTAAAAATATATATGTCAAATGTCTCAAAGTTTTTCTATAGTTACCTGATTTTAAAAACAAAACAAAACTATGAAAAGATTTTTTCTTTTTCTATTAATTGATAATGTCATATGTAAGACATGCTACAGATATTTATAACACACGGAGATTTGATTTTTCATTTAAATTTTATTTATTTTTAACTATATTTCATAAATCGCATTTACCAGGACTATACTAAGTGGTAATATATATATTAATAATTTATTGATGATTGGAATTCAATGTACTTTTAAGCGTTTCGCAATAATTATGATTAGTACGTATATTAAAATACTTGTAGTTATAGGAAGCACCTTAAATTGTGTAAATAGATTTAGATTTCTTAGATTTCTACAACCTAAGACTGTAGAAGATGATCCATTTTTACTTGTCACAATTTAGATTTAGACGTTTTAGAAAGCCAGTTAATTGCAAAGATGTGAAATCTATGAATACTGGAATACGAACGCACGGTCTCAGTGTTATATCAACTGTCGAAACGGCGCTAAATATATTTAAAAAATACTGTAACAGTTTACAAATCTAACATAATTGTATAATTCAGTAAAAGAAACCAATTCTTAAAAGGCCGGTTAAGCACTCTCGACCACACTGGCATTGTGAGTGTCCATGGGCGGTGGTAAGGCTTCAACCAGGTAAGCCACCTGCCCTTTTGCCCCTGTTCTATAAAAAAAATAAACGAATTTCATTAAACCTAAGCGAGAGGCTCCTGAATATTTCAGTGACTACAGAACTATTTCAGGAGCCTGTGACTTCCCAGTTATATTTTACATATTCCCTACATATAATAATCTAATTGTTAGATAAGAACATCAGACGGAAAGTAAACAATTTCAAGAATATATAACACAACACTTTAACAATGTACAGTATTTGCAATTTTCTTAACATACAAAATAATAATAAAAATAATTAAATTTTCTTTTTATTAATTATTAAAAAAAAAGTTTGGTTCCTGTGGCAGTGTACCTTAAACGCTGGCAGCTTCATCGCTGTATTACGACACTTTTTCGTTACTTTAATAATTAGTTACCGAAAATATATTAATTACTTTAAGTACGATAGTATACGGAATATTTTCATTATATTTAATATTTATTTTGGAATCATTCAGTATAATTCCAAAATATTGAATTTACATGTAGCATTACGCAGACGCAAGATATTTATCACGTGAAACTATTTTATCCTTTAAAAATTAAATTCTTTTTTTAAATATCTCACACTAGTGCAACCTAGAACCGATCATACATATTTATTGTATCATCTCATTATAAATGGCAGGAACAAGAATCATGGAGATTAATGTTAGTCGAAAAAGATATAAAAAGACATTGATGCTTGAAAATTCAACATTCGTCTCTTAGATAATCATAATGCGGTTGCTCTTGGTAAGCATGGCTGATGTGCCTTCCCGAAAATAATATTAAATAATATATTGAAATATAGTGATTGTGATGTGGTGTTTCAGGTATTCGGTTGTGTCTTGGCTGTGGCCCTCGCGGCTGAATACAGGTAATATATGCGTTTTTTTAAATCAATTTGAATATGGGTTAAGTAGTGTTATTTCACTACAAAATACAATATATTTATAGGATAACTTTAATATATTATGGTTTTGATTTTGTACATGGCTTTACATTTATTTTTAAACACATTGAAAAGCGGTAATATTTGAGTTTTCGACGGTAATCCATCATCATACACGCTGTATTTAACATATTGTATACTTTTCGACAGAACTGTAAGAGCAGCTACTGACGGCAGATATGATCCTAACTTATATGGATCAGGTAAATACGAATCTGGAAAATATCAAGGCGGCAAATACGACAATTCTGGACGCTATATCCCAGACAATTCTGGATTATACAAGTAAGCAAGGTTTTAATAGTAAATAATTTTAATTTTAATTTTCAAAGAAATTATAATTACGTAATTAATGTAAAAAATTTGAAGTAAAATTCCTAAAGAACTTTACATTTTAAACTCACGTAAAACTGTGACAATATTAAGAATTAATTTTCACATAATTATACCTTCAAATATATAAATCCTCAGTGAGTGAGTTTTATTACAGACTGAGGATTTCGTAGTAAGTTCAACTAGATTCGAGAAAGATTTAGATTTACAATTATAGGATTTTCTTTTATATCCAAAACGTGTGTACAGCAATGATTGTCAGGTCCGCTAAAAATATATATATGTTTACTTTTGTGATTGAATGTATATGTTTTCTTAAATATATAACGATGATTTAATAAAGCTGTTTTCTCCAGTGGCGACCGTGGTGACCGTGGCGGTGCTGGTGGATTCTACACTGGATCCTCTGACAAGGGAGGTCCAGGAGGTTTCTACGTAGGCAACAAGGATGACATCGAAAAGTACAGGCCCGAAAAAGAAGTCAGGTAATTTAGTCAACACGAAACGTCAATATTTTATTTGAAAGCGAATCAAATAGGTATTTTAAAAAGCTTTGTCAACAAGTAAATTATAGTCAAGGCATCTTAAATATGTCATACAGAATAAATTTCTCAAAGTTCAAAGTAATAACTGTGTTCATGCATCCCATAACCAATTTAATTAATAATACAGCGTTGCCTTTTGTATCGATTGTGCAAAGTGCGGTAATAAAATTATGAAAATAATGATCATCACCATATGAATTTATAACCGCGTCTACGAACATAAAATTATAAGATAATTACGATGTTCATATCACTGATAAAGACATAATATTCCAATGTATGTAAAGTATACAATTGGCCTAATTCAATTTCAATCGGTAATGCGGTAATGACCTAACATGGGTATCATGGTAATGTGATGGTTATAAAATTCGTAGTAGTTTGCCTTATCACAAATTATTTTATTCATAGATGAATATTAAGTTCACCTATAAAATTATTGTAGAATTTTATAGGGTCATTGGAATATTGCATAAAGTTTAACGCATCTTAAAGCTAACCATTTTTGTTTATCAGTTAAAGTTGCGAAAAGTTTTGCGCAATGAGATCAGACGTAGACGACAGATACACTTTTATATATATATAAAAGGGGGCAAATGCGCAGGAGGCTCATCTGATGTTAAGGGATACCATCGCCCATGGACAGTTACATTGCCAGAAGGCTCGCAAGTGCGTTGCCTTTTAAGAATTGGTACGCTCTATTCTTGAAGGACCTCGGTCGAATTGGTTTTCGCTTCTGCCACGGACTCGGACTTAAATTCCAGAAACTTTTTAGATTAATATTAAAGAGCGTACCAATTCTTAAAAGCCCGGCAACACACGTGGCACGTGTCCAAGAGCGGTTTTATAAGAAATATTTTTATATAAATTAAGATAATAGTTACATAATAGTTTCTTTAAAAAAGTATAACTGCAGGTTTTATATTCTTTATTAAACTTTTAGCGTAAAAGTGCCAGTCCCAGCCACAGCCGCGCCTGTTAAAACAGCCGCACCAGTCACCACAGCCGCCCCTGTCTACGTTACCGTGCCTGTCACTTACAAGCCAGTGTACAACACCCCTGTCCCAGTAATACCAAAAGTGGTCACCCCTGGAACTTACGACTACAAATACGGAATCATCCGTCAAGATGGCGACGTCCTCCCCGACGGCTATCACTACCTGTACGAGACAGAGAACAAAATCCTCGCCGAGGAATCTGGTCAAATTGAGAAGGGCAATGATTTCGAAGGCATGAGGACTAAAGGATTCTACGAATACGTCGGCCCAGACGGTGTCACCTACAGAGTGGACTACACAGCTGACGAAAGAGGCTTCATCGCCAGCGGCGCCCATTTACCCTAAAATTATAATTTAATTATAAAGATAATATATGCGCATCAGTACTTGCGTACCTGTTGTTACAATATTTGTGATTCATGTAAATAAAGCAATTTCCCCTGTATTCTATTGTTTTCTTGTTTATTTATTTTCAAGTATATTAAAGGTGTTGGCCTAGTGGATTCAGCGTGCGACTCTCATCCCCGAGGTCGTAGGTTCGATCCCAGGCTGTGCACCAATGGACTTTCTTTCAATCTGCGCATTTAACATTCGCTCGAACGGTGAAGGACAACATCGTGAGGAAACCGGCTTGCCTTAGACCCAAAAAGTCGAGGTTGTGCGGCAGGCACAGAAGGCTGATTCACCAACCAGATTGATGACCAACCTGCCTAATAGATTAACAAATGATCATGAAACAGATACGGAAATCTGAGGCCCAAACCTTAAAAGGTTGTAGCGCCATTGATTTATTTTTTATATTTAAGGTATATTCAAACAAATAAGTATATATTATATGTTATAACGTTAAAAGTTTAACGATACGACTTAGTATGCTATTGTATTCAACAAATTGTCAAACAGCTTAAAATTAATAAAAACACCACACTTGTAATAGAATTAATTTTAATATTTATTTCGAAGTGGTTTTCATAAAGTGCTGTGTAGGGGGTCTTGTCTTAATTGACCCAAAATTAATAATATGCCTTAATTGGCCAAATAAAGTGAACTAATCTACTGTGCTCATCAGATTAAAATCATGATTATTTTAAAAAATCATTTGGTTTACAATATATTTAAATATTACATCTAGCAATAGATGTTAATATCTAAATACCGCATACCGCAATTACGCAGTGTTTACTGAATGAATAAAATCAAAGTTAAAAAACAGAAGCTATTATAATTTATGCAAATTTATTACCTAATGACCCATTAATGTCTTAATATTATTTTTAATTCGATTATCTTTATATTATTTATTTTTTAAAACAAAATGGCATATATGACTAGTCTTTAATATATAATAGGATGGGTTTTTTATTACCAGTCGTAAAATTTTAAAACTAAATTTAGTTTCTTACATAATCAGGTCGTTACATTTTTCCTTGAATATGTAAATTTCTTGTAGGAACATTATTGAGCACTTTAGTTGAGAATTAATAAGCCATTTTCTATGTTGTTTTAATGATATACAAACCGTTATTAATTGACTAACTTATACATATTAAATAAAACAATTCAGTGATGCTACAACCTCTATAAGGTCTTGGCCTCAAATTTCTGAATCTGGTCCACGATGATTTTTAAATCTAATAGGCAAGTAGATGATCAGCCTCCAGTGCCTGACACACGCCGTGGACTTTTTGGGTCTAAGACATGTCGGTTTCCTCACGATGTTTTCCTTCACCGTTCGAGCAAATGTTAAATGCGCACATAGAAAGAAAGTCCATTGGTGTACAGCCGGGTATCGAACCTACGGCCTCAGGTATGAGAGTTGCACGCTGAAGCCACTAGGCCAACACTGCTCTTATATAAAAAAAAATTCATATAAATATACGAAATAAAGAAACCAATACTTAGATTTTTGATAATCGGAACTATTGGTATATAACTTTTGTTTTTTTTATAATAAATATATTCTGGTGCAAATTCTGGCTTATGCCAAAAATAATATCCACTTATATACTTGTTTTATGAAACATCCACACGGCATAGGTAGTCTAGTACTGGTGAGTATGCGCCTACGCAGGCCCGCGCCACGGATGTCGAGCTTGACGCGGGGACTGTGGGGCTGGGTCTACACTCAAAGCCCTCTGCTATTCAGAGGGGTAGCGAGACCCCACCCACTAAAAACACCTCAGCACTTCACGCCCTTTAGGTGGGTCCTCGGAGTTCGCCAGACATTTAACCCAACGACTGGTGAGTAGCCCAGCTACCACTAGATTCATCCAATGCAAAACAATTTCAATTCGAAATTCCAAGGTATTCGCACCATGATTTCAATTCAAACTAAGTTATTTTTTATTTTTTGGTATACCATACAAAACACACACATACAGCTGTTCTAGAGGAAATATTCCGAAAGCTAGATTGGACAGAATATGGCTTAAATATAAATGGCGAGAAACTGACCCATCTGAGATTCGCGGACGACATAGTGGTATTTGCAAATACGGCAGAAGAATTACAAAATATGCTCATAGAACTGAATACAGCTAGCAAAGAAGTTGGACTCTTAATGAACATCCAAAAAACTAAAGCCATGACCAATGGCAGGAATGACAGAGTAATAAAAATAGATGACAACACAATAGATTATGTATCAGAATATCTTTATTTAGGTCAACTGATATCCAACCATGATTCAACTACAAAGGAAATAGACAGAAGAATCGGAAATGCATGGAAGAGATATTGGTCCCTAAAAGAAGTTATGAAAAATAGTCAAACAAGCATGCACATCAAGAGAAAACTTTTCAACATATGCATCCTACCAATTCTTACATACGGTTGTCAAACATGGGCACTTACCAAAGCACAATGTGAAAGATTAAGTGGAACCCAGAGAGCCATGGAAAGAAGCATAATAAAGAAAAGAAGAATTGACAAAATTAGTAATAAAAAATTAAGAGATAAAACAGGGTTTGTTGACGTTGTGTATAAAACAAAAGTACTAAAATGGAAATGGGCTGGACATACCATAAGAGGAGCAGAAAAATGGAGCAAAATTTTAACACTATGGCAACCAAGAGGCCATAAAAGAAACAGAGGTAGGCAATTTAAGAGGTGGGCCGATGAAATCGTGGAAATGGCAGGAAAGACTAAGACCTGGACGAGATTGGTTTACAATAAGGCAAAATGGAGGACAATGGGGGAGGCCTTTGCCCGTAGGCACACAGAATCAGTTATCATAGATTAAGGAAAATAACAGTTATAATGTATATATTTTGTATTCTGATATAAGGCTATAAATAAATAAATCCATACAAAAAAAATAAATAAATAACCATAACTAGTGTTGTTATCATGGCGCATGACCTTTTTTGCCAAAAAACAAAAATCAAGAAGTACCCAAAACCGAATCAGAGCACCCCACTATCTACGTGGTCTAGTCTGCCTTACCCTTAGAGTGTATATATAAAAAATCGGAGGCGCGGAGAAAGAGCAGCCCCCACCCGCTGTAACAAAGTTTCGGCTTTTTGGACCAGCCTTAGCCGCTACGGCTTGCATAATGCCTGTGCTTTGGTTTGCAAGGGCGGAGGGGCTGCATTTCCCGCAGCGCCGGAGCTGTCCAAAAAACCTATTATTAATATTGTTCGGTTAGGTTAGTATATTAATATTTTTTTTAATAAATTGTTTTTTTTTTCATGCGCCATCATAACAATACTAGTTATGATGTTTACAGATCATAACGCGACTGTAAAAAAAATCAGTCTCAAAATCAGTGGTGCCGCGATACGGAATATTTACTCATTTTGGAATTGTAACTTTGTAAGGGGTAAGTTATCTTTTATTATGAACTTAGGGTTTAGTTTTGAGCTTGTAATTTTAACTTTAGGAAATGCCTTCAAATAAGGTGCTTCATATGGTAATAACAATTCATTCATGTGGTGTAAGTAACCACATAAAAAGGGTTTTGGTAGGATGGTCCAAACATCCTCCTGATTCCTTAACTCATTTAACTTGATGTTAAGATTCAGTTTAGTTTTTAGACATTATATAGTTGAGGACTGCTTATTTATTGTTCTTTTTATAAATATCCTTTATTCATTTGTTTTTTTTACATAAATAACTCATACTCATAATTAAACAATAAATCAGTGGCGCTACAACCTCTTTCTGTCAGGGCCTCAGATTTCTGAATCTGTTTCATGATAATTTTTCAATCTAATAGGCAAGTAGGTAATCAGCCTCCAGAACCTGACACACGCCGTCGACTCTAAGAAATGTCGGTTTCCTCACGATGTTTTCTTTCACCGTTCGAGCGAATGTTAAATGCGCACATAGAAAGAAAGTCCATTGGTGCACAGACGGGGATCGAACCTACGACCTCAGGGGTGAGAGTTTTTTTTTTTTTTTTATGTAATAGGAGGCAAACGGGCAGGAGGCTCACCTGATGTTAAGTGACACCGCCGCCCATGGACACTCACAATGCCAGAAGGCTCGCAAGTGCGTTGCCGGCCTTTCAAGAATTGGTACGCTCTTTTCTTGAAAGACCCTAAGTCGAATTGGTTCGGAAATACTTCTGTGGGCAGCTGGTTCCACATAGTGGTGGTGCGCGGCAAAAACTGCCTTAGAAAACGCTCTGTTGTGGAACGACGGACGTCGAGGTGATACGGATGGTATTTTGTATTTTGCCTTGACGTCCGTTGCTGAAACTCAGCTGCAGGTATTAGACCGAACAACTCCTCTGAACACTATCCATGGTAAATGCGGTAGAAGATGCAGAGAGATCCCACATCTCTACGCAACGCCAAGGGATCAAGCCGCACGGAAAGTGACTGGTCGTCGACGATTCGAACCGCTCTTCGTTGAATACGGTCAAGTGGAAGGAGCTGGTACTGGGGAGCTCCCGCCCAGAGGTGAGAGCAGTACTCCATATGGGGCCGAATTTGCGCTTTATATAGTTGCAAGCGGTGGCCCGGGGTGAGAGTTGCACGCTGAAGCCACTAGGCCAACCCTGCTTAATTTATTTATTAACTCATAATTATTATTTGGAAATATAAAACTAAATGTTTATGGCTACGACAATTTTGGTAATTCGTAATAAGCTTGAATTGAATTATGATATCTATTACATTTAGCGTTAGAGGTTGTTAAGGCACTTTCTGCCGCTTACCACCTCTTTGTGGAAGCAGCTGCCAGTAGGGTTATTTCCAAATCGATACGACGGTCTATAAGAAAAGAGCATACCATTCCCTGAAAGGTCGGCAACACACCCGCTATCCCCCGGCGGTGCAGGTGGGCGGGTCATGGGCGGGTCGTGGGCGGCAGTTATCACTTTATTCAAAGTGAAACCTGTT